CCCCTGCTTGGGCAGGGGGTTGGGCTGGGGGACCCATGGAGGGCCCTGCCAACCCCGACCATTCTGTGATTCTGTGATTCTGTTGTCATTTTGGCGCAGTTGTGCTCGCTGCCTCAGGTGTCAGCGTGTTGAGTCAGAGCGAAGCAGCCTGATAGCTGGGAACTGCTCGCTCCTGCTGTGAACATCTGATCAGCAGCTGCCCCGGTGACCGGAGCTCGAAGTTGTGAACTGGTGTTTCACAGATTTTGATGCACCAGGCTGTCTCGGAATCGGTTGCCTCCACGAGCAGCGCCTTGGGCTCGGGTTGCCTGCGATACTCGCGTCTTGCCTTTGCGCTGGGAGCCGGGGGCTCTCCGGGGCAGCGGTGGGGGGGCCATCAGGTCCGCGCTGACCTCGGCATGATCCTGCTGTGCGGCCTGCGCGGGGACTGGGGGAGAACGGGGGTTCTGAAGGGAGCTTTGCCTTAGTGCGAGTCTCCTGGAAATACTGCAGGGTGAAGAAGGGAGACCTCTTCCCACCCGCCTGCCCCGTGCGCTCCCTGGTTTTGGGGTGAGGATGTGGTAGAGAGGCCAGGGGGTCATGTGAAAGAGCACGTAACCATTTGATGCTCTCCCTCGGTATGCAGAGCCAAATATTTCCATTTCATGTTACCAACTCTCAAGATATTTTATTTTCTTCCACTTGTGAAAGGGCACGTTGTACCACGAGGGGCAAATGTTTCCGAGGTGAAGCTGAAGCACGAGGCAGAGTGGTTCCGTCGAGCGATGCTGCTGGGAGGTGCTAGTCCACGCAGGAGGCTCCTGAGAAACAGCAGAGGCTCAGATGAGGCCTTCAAAAACAAAGATGCCCTCCCTCCCCCTCAACCCTGTTTAAAAGTTGATTTGCAGAGGAACAGCGCAGTGTCACTTCCTTCCCCTGCCTGAAAGCGGAAATTCCTTTCTCCTTCATAAAATGATTATCTGCTGTGCTCCAGAAACTTCATTTCTGTTCAGATCGTGGCATTTAAATATGTGTGCTGAACAGCTGCGGGCTCCCTGGGGCGGAGGAATAAACCTTGGCACCCGATGTGCTTTCACTGGGGCCATGCTCCACTGAACAAAGAGCTTTGCCATCAGCCCTGTCTGCACCTTGGGCCTTCACTTAGCCGTGAGGGAAGGAGCACGGAGGGGTCCAAGCGCTCTGAGATCGAGCGGGGAGGAGATGGGAAGGTCGGTGGTGCCAGCGTGGAGGATGGAGCGTGCGGAAGGCCGACCTCCGTTGATTCTAAACGCATCACGTCGG